TAAAAGTCTACCCACCTCGCTGTTTCTTCCTGCCTGGACCTGGATCGAAACGGTGTCTACCGTTGCGCAATACACACGCCCTTTCAGTGAAAGGTATATGTCACGCCGGCGCCAGAGATGCCGCAGGTTAGCAAACGCTAATCTAACTTTGATCACGCGTTGCAAGATCTCCTCGACCACACTTCCGGCAGCCGTTATGCTACTCCTGAGGTAGACAAAGCTTTAAACTACTTCCAGGGTGTCATTACCCAACGAAAGTGTGAGAACGGATTTCTGCCAGTTTTGCAACAACACTTTGCGGTTTGAAGGTGCAAAGGACATGCCATAGCGAGTAACCACAATTGACAAACGAATCAACGACTCTTTAATCAGTGGTGCGTTGTCACCGAGTAATGAAATACCGCCAGCATAATCTAGGTCACGTTCTGTGCGTATATGCATTACGGATTTACCTAATGGTAATCGGTGGTATGGCAAGATACGAAATTAAGTTTCAAAAATACGTCATCACTATGACTTACTTTCCCAATTTGCTTCATTCAGTTGCCAAATGTGGTTTTTTACAGTGAGTGGCACTGGATACAAGAATTGACTGACCACGACTCCAATATGACCAGGTACATCCAATGATAGTGTGGACAGAGTACGGATGGTCATGATGTTTGAGCGGTCTCCATCGCAGGCTTGTAGTCCACTACGACCAACCACCAGACAACTTCGAATATTCAAAGCATTTGCACGCTGGAAGCTGGCCGCTCGTTTCACCTGTTCGATTACCGGGTAGAACCCTGAAAGTGAAAGATTTCAGTATAGAAGGACTGCTGCAAGGAGATTTATCGAAATAATGTATTCAATTCTCTAACTCTATGCCTTGGTTTATACTTTAATAAAAATCGTACGATTCCCTGAGTTGCATATTTTCAGACGGCCTTTTTAGAGTGCTGTGGTGTTAGCTGTGGTGGTGGTGGTGGTGGGTTTGGCGGTGGATATTTTGGTTGAACAACGGACCTTACTAGGGAAAACTTATCCACTTCATACGATATCCACGCAGTAGCAACGCTTGCATTGCAAAGTTAATTGTTACTCTCTTTCCATTCTCTTGCATACCTCCCCTTCATTGCGGGCATAATGGCTTATTCGATTCGATTCGAGCCAATTGTAATGCATCCTGGATCACTTACGCACATCAAGTACACATGCATGTGTGTACTAAATGTGTTTCCATCAATCAACAGTCCGAAATCTCAAAAGCATGAACCGAGAAAGATTGCGATCAAAATCACTCACCTGACAGACTCAGAACCATTCACGCTGCTTACGCACAGGTGGGGATGGTAATTTCTGAGTGTAGCTTAATGATCACATCAACTATAGTATGCGCGTGTATAGATGTAGCGAATAATCTGGGATCTATCACTCAAACTTGCGTTCGAATTCGACAAAGGAAAAATCTGCTTCCAAATGGTAGTATATGTCAGTACTCTACCAACACCAATATGGGGAGCATCGGGAATCGGGTTCGAACACACTGAACTACAATACAAGAAACTGAGGGTCTATATCATCATAATTTGGCCATCGCCACATTCAGTGGAATCTTGAATCCAAAGTCCTGACTAGAAGACAAACTTATAAATCCATGCGAGAGCTGAAAAATCTGTCTGGTACGTGACGCAGGCTTGCCAAATTGTTTGAATTTATTATGAACCTTTGACAGTCAATGCGAGTAACTTAACGGGTCGGGAATACAGATAGAGTGATTTTTTGGCCAGAGGTTTCATACAATGATAAAATTCCTATGCAGTGGACCAGTAGGTGGTTGTATCTGGACTTCCAGTACTCGTACCAAGCATCAAGCACGTACATGCGTGAGTTCGGCTAAACAGTGTAATGTCTCTCGCTGGGAGAAGCCCCAGTCAGCAAAACCCATGACCCGGCGTGCCACAAAGAGAGCAAACCAAAGACACCAGTTTGATACCTACCAATGGAATTGTCCACCAGCTGGATATGATGTGCCTGGATCGCAGAGGTTCGGGTCCAGAAAACGGCCACTTGACTGGATGAGTAGATTTTCATATGATGTATTTGGGCGCACAGGCGCCTTGGTTCAATACCAAGCACACCGACTGCACACGAATGAATCACCGTGTCTCGTCTGTGTAGGTGAGCCGAAAAACGGGACATATTGAAGAACAAATATTTATAAATATGAAAATAGGTCAAGTTTGAAAAAGTGAAGTGACTATCAAACGACACTGGTCAGTCTGTGTAGGTTGTCATGGTCGAATCTGTTCCGTCCTGAGGTCAGATGCTCCGACGAACTCTTTTGGAACTTAAACCTGAATTCATCATTCTTTTCCTTGTGATTTGTTCTCATTTTGCGTCGCATCCAAACTTTTCGGTCCTTCAATGATCTAGGATCATGCTTGAACAACACATCGCTTTTTATCCCGACAAAGAATAATCCCATTTCAATCAATCTAGTGTACACACTTCGATCATCGTTGTTTTAACTAGCGATTCCGTGGAATTATGATTCGTATTTGCACAAACACACACTCTGGTTAGTTTGTACCTGGTCAACTTTAAACTCAAGGGCTCGTGTCACTTCCCGTCTACCGTGGACGTACTTCATCCTTCTTGGTGTTTCTCAGTTCACTCAAATCCTGGACAAACTTCCCAGTTGTTTTTGATGGCGCGTCAACTTTGCTGGTGGACTTTATCATTGTTGATACACCGTGAACACGGCCTTCGGTTTGCCTTACCCTGTATGATGCACTTTCTTCAATTAAGTGTCCTTGACTATTGTCGAGGGGCAAACATCTTGCAATTCGTTAATTCTCTATAGTCATTTATTGATAGCGGATCATCTTCTCCATCGGCCGCTCTTTAAAGTATTCACGGATTTCCTCACTTCGGACCCAGAGTCTTACGTGTAACTCAACTTGTCAGTTCCGAAAGCAAAGATGGTGATCAAAACTAATCCTAACGCTGTTCAAAAGGTCAATACAACTGCAACGTTCTTTTTCTTTGAGTCCCTGGACGTCTTTGACCAACTCCAATAGGATGAATTAAACAATAGAAGCACTGGGGTGTGTAAATATGGTATCTTGAAATGGTGAAAAAAAATGAATTCCATAGCAACTTCCGACCCAGTTACGGGTGATTTTTGTAGTGGTATTAGTCACCAAACAGACACGTACACACATTTTGTTTTAAATGGATGGGAATAAACAACATCTCTTTCATTTGTCTTGCTGATTTTATTATTTTCCTTTGATTTGAGCCGATAACGGAGATTGTTCACTCATTGTACCCAAAATTACATTGGATCTAATGCTTCATTTCAGAAGCAAACATTTTACTGTCCAATGATTGATCAATGATGGCTTCTAAGCGAAAAGAAGCAGGTCCGCACTACGTTCAATGCATTCGTACAGAGCTAAAAGCATGCGAACCTTGAACTGTTCGCGGCACACATTACAGGTTCGTTAAAATCAATCTGTTCTCTGCTGCAAACTAATTTGTGTTGAGTCTGTTTCCGGCGACTTCGAGCAGCTTCTGTTTGTTTGCTCCGAAATAACGAAACAACGAGATCAGGTTTGGTCGGTTCATAGGAAAGGAATGGTGGTTAGAAAACAAGTTGCACCACGGCTAATCACCTTTGCACGTCACACGCAGCACGCATACATACACACACACACACACACAGTACGAACTCACATTAAACCGAACCACTGAAATCAGTGAGGCGTTCACACAACTGACGATTGACGTCTCAGCCCCAGAGAGGGGATCATCGACAAGTAAGAAAAAAATGAGGTTTCAAGACCGAGCATCTGCACAATTCCCTGGAAAGTTTATGAATACATTTTATAGCGGATTTTTTCTGTTGTACAACAACTTCGAGGACAAGGAGTAAATTTTTCGGACTGCCTAATAAATTTGGACAAATTATCCAATTGCACACTCCAGTGTGTACTGATCACAGACGACGCGGTAGAACATGGTCTCATTAAATCTGTCTGTCGCGGCCTAATCGAAAAGAATAATTTCGTGCAGAAACAAGTGTATTTCTTATTCAGTGCTTTAATGACTTGGATAAATGTTCCAGCTCCGGAAAATTACCCGGTAATAACCACACATTGCTATGGATAAGATTGCGGGAAGCGGTTTTTCTTCTTTCGGATTCGACCTGTCTCTTCACACACAAAGAAGAGCTCTGTTTATTTTGGGAAATCTTGTTATATTATTGTTATGAAAATTATTAATCCGCAGTTTAACATGTATTACAATAGCCTTGAAATAATGTTTACTTTCAGTGTTGGCGGGTGACTGACTGACTGACTGACTGGCTGACTGACGGACTGACTGACTGACTGACTGACTGACTGACTGACTGACTGACTAAAATTATAATTGGTCGAATTAATCAATGATTGCTATTATAGTGATCGGGTTTGCGAACTTACTCCATTTCTGAAAGATAATCCGCACATGCAGATCCTCGTGTCTTTAGACCGATGCAAGTTGCTCCAGCCACTGTATTGCGCTGCCAACGTATATCAGTGGCCCCAGTAATGTCAACCACGGAAGCTTCATCCTTTAGTTCAGTCACATTACCGTGTGGTGTACAGTTGGTTGACAGTATCAAATTATTGATCACCGTATGCTGATTTCCAGAGAGAAGCATTCCTTTTGTTTTGAAAAGGGAAGTAACAAGAACAATGCTGACTTTTTTTAATGCTATTCAAATTCGTTTGTCATTTATCGCTACAATATTGGCCAGAGATGAATATAATTGAAGACAAATTATTCAAATTTTTGCATACTGTTAGTTTGAAGCATAGTTGCCCCGTAACGAATTTGAATAAATAAGCCGAAAACACAGGTTTGCACAATGTATCCTGGATAATTTCGTTGCATCTATACACGTGCATACTATTGTCTATACGGTCAATAATATATGGTCAGTATGGTCAGTAACACATGGTTACTGTGGAGTTAAATGCACTGTTCATCAACGTCCCCCTACTGGAGACCATTACGATTATTCGTCAAACTATATGAGAAAAGAACATTCACGTTGGACTAACAGCGGATGAACTGGAAAGGCTTTTGTTGTTATGTACCCATAATGTGAAGTTCTCCTTCTTAGGCGAACAATATCAACAGATAGATGGAGTCGGTACGGGACCCATTCTTCCGGACATTTTCGTGGGATATCTAGCACGTCCATTGAGGAACGGAATTAAAATGCTGGACCTATACCGCCGGTATGTTGATAATATATTTATTATTTGTAATGCAAAGGAAGACGGGGAGAGATGATTTAAACACTAGAATAATCTTCACCCGAACATAACGTTGACAAGCCGCATGGAAACGCAAGACAGCATCGCCTTTTTGGAAGTGGAAGTTTCACTTCGAACGGATGTATCAATCAGAAGGATACATTATCCAGACAATATCCCCATTTTACTAGCTGTGCTTCAATAGGATGCAGACTGGTCTAGTTCAAACGCTCTTCTACTGGGCGCGATTGATTTGCACAACGGATACATTGGATAACGAATATGACAAGATCAGAAAAGTTTTACACTCTAAAGGGTATTTGAAAGGGTTCATCTCAAAGTAGTCCAATCTAATCGTACTCGGGAAAAGACGCCAGGTGCAGATAAGATGACGCTGGTCCTGCAACTTCCCTTCAAAGATGACGATTACTAAGCGCCTAAAATCAGCCGTTAAGCGCACCTACTACGCAGCCGACCCCATCGTTGTTTTTACGGCTGACCGGTTCTCAATACCATCGATGAAAGAGCTGCTGTCTCCCCACGCCAAATTGAATTGTATCTATCAGTTCAAGTGTGGATGCTCGACCATCTGTATCGGCAGAACGGTGAGACAACTGTGCTACCGAGTAACCGAGCACATCCCGGACTGGCTTCGGAAAACAATAAGTGGGAACTTTGGAAGTATAAGGTCACCAATGAAGCGTAGGAAACTCAGTTCGTCGATCACACAGCACCTGGTCGAAATGCAACAGTGTCATGCTGCGCGACGCGTTGAGAATCCTTTACAACACTAACAACACCAAGGTTATGAAATACGCTGAGGCACTCGCCTTTCGAAATTGCTATTGTAAACAGCGTGATACCTTGGTAACAAATGTGTTTGTTGAGTAATTTTAGCCGCAATCTTTCTCAGCCTATGATTCTGTTATTTACTGACCATATATTATTGATCACATAGACTGTAGTATTCACGTGTACAGATGGAGCGAAATGTTCCAGGATACATTGTGCAAATCCGCGTTTTGGCTTCTTTATTCAAATGCTGTTAGTTGCATATGCTGGCTCCATTCAACAATGGAGACATTACTGACACTGAATACTCTCTATCTAACCAGCCAATATAGATAGAAAACATTGATATTAAGATCGTATCACCAACAGCAGGCAGTCATTTACACCTTTATAATTTAAAAAAATGGGTTGAGTTTTGCTCCAAACACTGTCTATTCATCTAAGATGTTTTTGACTGTGACCGAATGAGAAGGTGCTATGATGCAATCGTCATTCGGATATTACGTGTTTATCAGGTGGTAAAATAGTTCCGGCGTTTGGAAGGTCACCAAAATAGATAAGGTTCCGATATTCGTTGTTCCTTTTGACTGGCAAGGATACCTGAAGTATGAGAAATCGATCTGGCATACATGCACGACCTACAGATTATATTAACTCTCGAGAAATTGTGTACGCAAGCTGCTTACGTTCATTTTCGTTGACCGCGGTAATCCCTGCGAACATGTGAATATTCGCCTTTATCGATTCATTAATGAGAGATATTGTGAATTCCCGGGGTCTCTATTAGATCAACTACAAATGCGATCATTCAACACTATCGTCATTCGCAGCGAGACCATGAAAAGCAAATAGCTAGTTCATGATATTTGTGAGTGTTACTTTAATAAGCTGATATATCTTCACCAAAGACCATAAATTCATTAAAAAGAGTCATGATTCTTCTCATTTGTTTACAGAGAGATTCTTCAAACAGAAGTAATATGATTATACGATGGACCCAAGTTTTCACATTGGATCGGACTAGATATTTTTCAACTAAAGCATATGTGTTCCACAGATTAAAAAAGATGATCCAACTGACCCCAGATAATCAAGTTATCAGCCGTTTTTTCATGCAATGCAAAGGTGCTCTTAATCGGTTTTAAGCTGAAGATTTTGCGGACATGCCAATAACTGCAAAATTGAGTAGTTTGAGCAACCGATGAACAAATCCAACAAAGGTCCTCCAGACAATATTTATTCACGCTCTTGGATATCCATGTAACTACCCCTGTCACCCAGGGTGACTTTTAGACGTAAAACTAATCTTAGTAGTTACGTTTGCACACGGTACAAGTCATTCGTTGTTAATACACAGCAGCAAAACACTGTTTCTATAAATATTTTGCTCCATCCACCTGTTTGGCAATGTGCTATATTAAAAATAATCGGGTAAATACTCTGAATCCTTTTTGAAACCGTTGTCCCTCTGACACATTTGAACATTAAGGTTTCTTCCGAATTAATCACTTTCTGACAGTTTTCCCGTCTAATGTTCTCCGGAAACGAAAAACCGAGTGGATGGAGTACTGATGTTCACCTTTGATTTTGAGAAGACATACCTGGAATTGTTTACTCAGAATAAACCCAATGGCTTCCGGTGCACCACAATAATTCACAGCCCATGTTGCCTGGCCCAAGAATTCCAATCGTTTCATGGCTAGACAAAACGTAACCGCAGAAACCTTTTGTTTGTTATCTCTCGAAAGAATCATGAACAGCTGTCCGACCCTCATCGTTGCATCGGATCGTAAATAATCGCAATGGGCGTCAACAGACAAATAACATTGCCTCAACACAATTCGGAGTCAAAGTTCCATTTGTGGCGTTCATTCGCTCTCTTTTGTCATTACCGCTCGCAGCTGCACCCGTAGATTCAAATAGACTAACAAATACATCGTGAGGAGAGCAACAACAGTCGGAGAAATCAGAGAGCACCCGTTTTCGGTTTTTGATTATCGAGAAGATTGATTACAGTACGTGAAAGTGAATCTGCTGTCGTGATTGGTAACAAACTGCCCTACATAGTCAAGTGAATCACGCCACAGGATTTGAAAAAAATAGTCATTGTTTGGGTAACTCGTGATGGTGGACTATAGAATGTAAGCCAAATCTGCCTCTCACAACCTGGTCAGCTACAGTGGCATCGGTGACAAGAGAACATAAAAACCAGCACATCAGAAACAAGTTTAATGCTTCAAGTTCAATTTAGAATCCAAATTTTAGTTCTGAGCCTGTCCTGATGACGCGTACCTATGACCTACTTGGAAAACTTGATGTGATTTGACAGAAAGTGTACTTTGTCCGCATCTAATTGATCCTGCCTGACCCTCTATAGTTGCAGAGAGCATTTGATCGAAATTATTTTGTTCAGTCTCATCAGTCCCGATGTTAGGTGGTTACCACGATGTTAGCCCACAAGCCTTGCATTGGGTGTATTATGCGTTCCAAACTCCCTTGGTCAACTTAGCAGATATATAGAACGGATAGGCTACAACTGCGATAAAGTACTTTTTTAACTTGACGTCATTGTCCGATACCACTACTCTCTGCAATGAATAACTAAATACTTACGTATATATACACGCATATATAGAGAGGGTCAGTGAAAAAATGGTTATCCCAACAAACCTGTTCCTCGGGTGCCGTAAATCACATTGTTTGTGAACAACACATTGTCGGTGTCACGAACAACCAAAGCCGAGTTTCTGCTCTGACGAAACATACAACCGACCAAATGAGTCTGATTCCAGCTGGATTGGATAGCGTTGAATTCCACAGCGGGATGACCGTTCACACCTCCCAAGTTGTCAAACAAAATACCTAAA